ACAGCTGTTGCTCTGAGAACTGAAGTCTGTCATTCCCCACTAGGACTCTCCTGCCTCTCTCTGTGAAGCATGCTAATTTGCCAGCTTATGAATAGGGTGATCCTCAGACCCTCTATAGTTTCTAACAAAGTATCTACTGGAGAGTAGCACAATAATAAAAATGATTAGGTTTGGTGCTGGAATCAAACTAATGGTCTTGATCTTGCTAGGTAAGTTCTCTACCACTGAGATATGTCCCCAGCCCAATCAGTAGTTAAATATATATAATCACATATTACAATATTTGTATTTCATGGATATTGTCATTATTCATGATAAATGCATTTTTCACAAAATTTTGCCTTTAGCTCCTTCCAAGTTTCACACACATTCCACAAATGCAAACAGCTCCTGAGCTAAAGAGAACTAGAGTTAAGCACACAGGCTGTTGGCCAAAACTTACGAATTCATCTCCCTGATTCAGCATCATGGCTTGCCCTGATTTAATTCATTCTTAAAATTATGGATTGTAAGTTTCTCCTGTGCTTTATTAAACACCAAAATAAGTCTTTTGTTGCTTCTCCTGGAATGTTGGCTCTTTAAATGTTTTAATTTAAGGTTACTTCTTTAAGACAGCATTTAAGGGGCCTGATCACCTCAAACTGAACTCTGCTGTGGTCTAAGTGTGAGGCTCTGTACTCATTCCAGTGCCGGTGCCAGTGCTGCCTTCTGGCTCCGCCCTTGTCGCTGCACTCACCTGCTCCTCTTGGTTATCAACCTAATAGAAACTCCAGTCTCTGACAGCACTGAGCATTGCTGGCCTCACACTCATCATGAAATACCCGTAGACCTCTGTCCTCTGCTACTCTACTTCTCTGTTGCTGATAACTCCTTCATTTTGTCCTTGAACTTTTCCTTAGAGTTTTCTCTCAGACCCTGTCCATCTCTTATCATTTATGTACCTTGGGTAATCCTGTTTACAACCATGTCTTCACATATGCTGTGTGCACACAGATAACCTTCCTCTGTGCCCCTTGTGGGTCCTTAAGGCCACTGTGTAAGTTACGAGCAAATGCAGCTGGCATCTATCTAGCTGCGGCCTTTGTATTTTCTCTCTCACTCTTCTGTCCCTTTCTCCTTTTATACCTCATCAGTCACCAGGTCCTATCACCCCAGGTTACCATAGAGTCCTGTTCTTTAATGACAAACCCTTTTATTCTTTTGAAATTTTTGGTTTTCCAGGACAGAGTTTCTCTGTGTACCTTTGTAAACCAGGCTGGCCTAGAACTCACAGAGATCCTCCTGCCTCTGCCTCCCAAATGCTAGGATTAAAGGAGTGCACTGCCGGCACCACCCTGTTGACAATGTCCTTTTTAGACAAGTATCATAAGTATTCTCTCATTTGTGGTTCCTAGATTGCATATAGTTTGAAGGTGGGGACTTCCGTCTTCAATAGATACATAAAATTATGCGTGTGAATGCAATGTGAAAGTAGAAGCAAAACTGTCTAGTGGGACAAAGGTGATGGGTGGGTGGGGGAAGGGAGAAGGTGTGGTCAATTTAACAAAACTTAAGAAGGGAAAGAAGAGCTGGCAGTGGTGGCGCACGCCTTTGATCCTAGCTCTTGGAGAGCAGAGGCCGTGGGTCTCTGAGTTCGAGGCCAGCCTGGTCTACAGAGCGAGTGCCAGGACAGCCAGGGCTACACAGTGAGACCCTATCTCAGAAAAACAAAAAAGTGAAAGAAAAGGAAAGTCTTTTTAAAGAATTTGGATGGCACTAAAACACTCCTGTTGTCACTGTGTTCTAGTGGTCGAGACCCTTGTTATTGTGTTTTCTCTATGTGGAGATGTGTTTCTCCTGGGGTTACTTACAAATTCTGATGGAAAGGTATTGCCTTTTAAATATCTCTTACTTTTCAGTGGGTTTTCAGAGTACTTTGTGTTTAGTAAGAATCATTTATTCTTTTTTTATTGGGGGTGTTCAAGAAAGGGTTTCTGCATGTAGCCCTGGCTGTCCTGGAACTTGCTCTATAGACCAGGCTGGTCTTGAACTCCTATACCCACCTCTCTGCCTCCTGAGTGCTGGGATTAAAGGCATGTGCCACCACTGCCCCGCTCCTAACTTTTACATTTTTAGTGTAGAATATATTTGATGCATTTATCCACATTTAAAAAAAAAGCTCATGACAGTTTTAGAACTAGAAAAACAATTTTGTATTTTCTTCCATAACTCTTGCCTATTACCTGCATTCAGTCCTTCCTTATATCCTTATATTTAGACTTTCTTGTTGTTTTCTTCATGTTATACTGAACCTATGTGTACATTTGTTTACATATATACAAATACTGTTTTAATATTAAAATTTTACTATTTTAAAATATACATTATTATGAATATGTATGGAGTATGTATGTACACATGCATGCTGGCATCTGAGAAGGCCAGAGGCATTGCATCCCCCTAGACTAGAATTAAAAGCAATGGTGGAACACAGTTGCTGGGTGCTAGGAACAGAACTCAGGACCTCTGGGAGAGCAGTATGTGCTCTTATCCACCAAGCCATCTCTCCAGCTCCTTCACGAGCTGTTTTCATAGACAGCTTCCAGGACCAATTCCAAGGAAATGGCACATTGGAGAGATCAGAGATGTATCTAGTCTGTTGGTCAGTGGGGTTACTGCAGCACTGAGGATAACGTCTTTCATGGTTTAGTTTACAGGATCTTGTTTTTAATCACCTGGTTCGTAGAACATGAAATAGCATGATAAAATCAGGTATGTAGTGTTTTCCTCAGTTAGCAACCATATTGTCTTAACATTAAAGATTTGTTAAGTGTATACAGAAATGTATACCCTTGTAATGGGAGTGGAGCATGAGTGCTGGAGGCTCACACACAGTCACAGGCTTTCATCACAAAGAGATTCTTGAGACCCTGAGTGTTTCAGGTTGGGAGTTTTCAGATTTTGGTGTATGTGTGTGGCTTTACTGGTGACATCCCTTAATCCCTTTGGATTTGGGATTTTTGCATAAGGAGATAGAGGGGAAAAAGTGAACAAAAGATGCTAGGGTCCAGCCCAGAGCTGTGCAGCATGCCATCATCCCTGCACTTGGGAGGCATAGAGAGGCAGGGGAGTCAGGAGTCTAAGGTCATCCTTGGCAGCATTAGTGACTTTGAAACCAGTCTTGGCTAAGGGGAGACCTTGTCCCCGAAAACAAAACATTGCGTCCCACAGCATCTTCTGATGGCCACCAGGTGGCACAGTCGTTCCACATTGGTTGGCTGTGTTAACTAGTTCTTGGGAACAGAAAGGGGGACAGTGAAAGAGTGGCCTTGCAAATGTCAACTCCAAAGAGCAGGACATGCTCTAGTAGTTTCTGCATAGTCTGGGGCTGTTGTTTGATAAATGAAAATAAGCAGTACTCTACACTTACTTATTTGAGCCTGGTCCTTCCCTGTTGCTGTTTTGAGACAGTCTCTTGTTATGTAGCCCAGTTTGGCCTTGAATTCATGTTCCTGCCTGAACCTCTCAAGGGCTGGGATTTCTGGCCAGTTGCCACCATTGCCAAGTTTGAATTTGGTTCTTTTGGGACTGGCTTTATGTTGTTATCAAATAAATCATTGTCAACATCCTTCTTGTAATTTTTATGAGAAAGTTTTAACTTTTTTTTTTTGAGACAGTGCTTCATTTATCTCTGGCCTTGTAGCTGGCAGTGGCTTTGAATTCCTGGTTCTTTTTTTTTTTTCTTTCGAGGGTTTCTCTGTGTAACAGTCTTGCCTGTCCTGGAACTCACTCTGTAGACCAGGCTAGCCTCGAACTCAAAGAGATCTGCTTGCCTTTGCCTCTCCAGTGCTGGGTTTCAAAGGTGTGCACCATCACCACCCAGCTGAACTCCTAATTCTTTTGCCTCCTGAGTACAGGGATCACAGGTGTATGCCACTACACCTGGTTTAAAAGTTACTCATGGGAGGCCTGCCCCTTTCTGAATGGAGGAGTGTGGTGTATTTATGATTTACTAAAGCTTGCCTGGAGATTCAGAAAGGAAAGCCAGCCTTAAGCTCTAGAGATCAGGCTGTAGTGATATACACATTTAATCCCAGGACTCAGGAGAAAGGCAAATGGATCTCTGAGTACAAGACCAGCCTGGGTAGCTAGTACATTTAAGATTTTAGGAAAGTTTCTCCTCATAATCCACATGTAGATAGTTCTAGAAGTCCAGTTCTTGTAGGACATGCTCAGCTGCAGTGCTTTTATAACATACCACCAGGTGGGGAGGACACCTTCTACAGGCAGAGGCTTGGTGCGGAGAACCCAACTACGAAGCATTTCCCCAAATGGTGAATCATGAAATATCTTGATCCATTGTGGAAGTAACTTCTGTTATGTTCTACGTCAGGGTTTGTGGATTGATAAAGTACAGACTCAGGTTATGGAGCTTCAGAACTGGAAAAAGAATAAGGACAGAAATGGTTGGGGGGTAGGGGAATGGACTGTGTTAGGTGCCCAAAACAGAGGAAGGACTCTTCAGGAAATCATTTTGGGGTAGTTGTTTTAAATACAACACTTAGAGTGTATTTGTTTTATATTTATGCAGTTTTATATTTACATAATGACTATTTGAAATATTAACAATAAGTGGAATACTGTACTTGTTTTGAAGAAATTTAGTAAATTAAATTCCTATTAAATAAGAAAACCATGGAGGAAGGGTTCAGGTAACTCAGTGAATCTATTTCTTTTTCTTCTGAAGAGTTTCACTTTTTTTGGTAGGAGGGTGATATAAGGTCTCTCTAGCCCTGGCTGGCCTGTCATTCCATATGTTGACCAGAGTGGCCTTGAACTCACATAGATTGTGAGTTCCTCTGCTTTCCTGAGGGCAGAGACTAAAGACATGCATGACCATGCCTGGTAAATTTGATGAGTTAAGTCTCTTCAGCTGTTTTCAAACCTGTGCTGTTGCCTAGCTGGAATTTCTTCTCATTTTTCAAAAAACTAACTTCAGCTTTCTGTTCTTTTTGAAACAGTGATCACATGGAAAATGTTTATGGCTATTTAATGAAGTACACCAACCTCGTCACCGGGTGGCAGTACAGGTAAGTTGACTGTCCTATCAATCACATCAGCCTCCTAAGAGTGGGAACGTGGAGCCGATGTGTTATATGCAGACATCAGTACAAATAGCTAGGGGCCTTTTAGCTCCAGGAGGGTCTACCACAACTCTACAAGTGGGATGGCTTTCTCCTTAGGTGGAGGGGTTGGCAGAGGGGTCTATCATATCATTTGGGGCAGGACCTAGGCCTTCCCCCATGTATCTAGACTGAGAGAGTATCCCTCCATAGGGAATGGGCTCCTAGAGTCTGTGCACTAGGGATAAATACTGGTTCCACTACCAGAGGTCCCATAGACTGCCCTGGTCTCCCAACTGACACACACGTTCATGGGATCTGGATCAGTTCTGTGCTGGTTCCCCAGGTGTCAGACTGTTGTTCATGAGTTCCCACTTGCTCAGATCAGCCGTCCCTGTGGGTTTCCCCAGCATGGTCTTGACCCCTTTGCTCATCACTCCTCCCTCTCTACAATTGGATTCCAGGAGTTTGGCTCTGCCCCTGCCTCCTTAGTGTTGGTATTAAAGGCGTGGGCCACTACCACCCAGCTCTTTGGTGGCTTTTTTATATTTATATTTTATATTTATATTCATATGTGTGGGTGTGTGCATGAGTATATCCGTGTGCCTGAGTGTCCTTCTTCCCTTGTTTATGTATGGGTCTCCCTGCTATGTCATTTCCTGCCTGGATCATCACTTCTTTACTACATTTCCCAGAATCCTCTTTGACTCCTAGTCCCATCTAACTTGCTGTCTAATTGGCCAAACAGTACTTTATTCAACAATCAATAAGATGAACATGCACAGAAGTACATTCCCCATCAGACATTTCCTTGGTTCACACCATTATTTACAGGCTAGCAATATTCCAGTGTGTGTATATAAAACCTTTATTTATTTATTCATCTATTGATGGGCATTTGGGTTGTTTCTGCCCTTGGCTGTTGTAAATAATGCTGCTATGAATGTTGTTCAAGTCTACATTTTGTGTCTATGTCAGGAAGTAGATGATACAGTGCAGTGTGTGTTTTTTAAAAGAAATAAGCTGCTGCTGGACATGGTGGTATACAACTTTAATCCCAGCTTCGGGAGACAGAGGCAGGCAGATCTCTGTGAGTTAGAGGCCAGCTTGGTCTATACATCAAGTTCCAGGACAGCCAAGCCATATAAAGAGACCCTGTCTCAAAAGACCAAAATAAAATAAAATAGATGAGCTTTTTCTGTGGCCCAGGCTGAGTCTAAGCTCTTGAGCCTCAGCATCTGGAGCAGCTGGGACTACAGACATTGCCCTTGTGCATGGCTGTACCCTTTTACCTGACCAGCAAAAGTTCCTGGTCCTCCTAGTCCCACCTCTCAGTTCTGGAACTACAGGCATGCATGGTGGGTCAGACTTTTTATGTGGTTGCTGGTGATTTGGACTCAGGTCCTCATGCTTGCAAGCATGTGCTCTTACCCACCGAACCATCTCCCCAGCCTTTAATCATTCTTTAAATGATAAAACTAAAATTGGTAAGCAAATCACTTTGAGTCTAAGGTCTTTTTTTTTTTTTTTTTTTTTTGGTTTTTTGAGACAGGGTTTCTCTGTGTAGCTTTGTAGACCAGGCTGGCCTCAAACTCACAGAGGTTCCCCTGCCTCTGCCTCCCGAGTGCTGGGATTAAAGGTGTGCACCACCACTGCCTGGCAAGTCTAATTTTTATAGACAAATTATTTTCACAAAACCATGTACCATGCTGTTTCTAATTCACATTCATTTGGAGACTAATGCTTTTAACCATGATGGGATAATACAAGTTGTTGTTTTCTTCCTACCTTAAACAATATAAACCAGGAATAATACATGAAAGAATGTTTTTCAAATACTTTTAAAGAATAACGGAAACACCCGTGAAAAATACAAGTTTTTTTTTTTTTTTTTTTTTTAAAGAAGCCATGGTACAACATTTACACCCTGCCATCATACACACATGCACACACACACATCATATAAATCAAGACAATGTTTTTTTAAAGAGCAAGCAAAAATACCTTCATGTTCCATTTTTGTAGGAAGTTGTGAGACACATCAGCTCCTCAGTGTGGAATGGATACACTGAAGGATAAGATGGGAACAGAGAGATTAAGAAGCTGTTGAGGAGCCAGGGGCCTAGAGGATCAACCTCTGTGGCTTGCCAAGCTTCCATTTTTGTGTACTGCAGAAAGAAGCATTAAGAAAAAAAGCTTTGGACCTGTGCCTGGTATTCAAGGCAGTTTCCTCCCCTACAACCATTTCCAATTTGACTTAAAACAGCTCTTAGCAGGTTGGAGAAACCTAGCATGAGTGTGCTGTAGAAAGAATTGCTTGATGACTGGTGAGGTAACTCAGTCAGCAGGCCAGCAGGATGGCTCCAGGGGGGTTGGTGGTCTGAATAAAAATAGGCCCATATTGAGTGGCACTATTAGAAGTTGTGGCTTTGTCAGAGGAAGTGCTTCACTAGGGGGTGGGCTTTGAGGTCTCGAATGCTCAAGCGAGGTCTAGTGAGACATTCACTGCCTGCAGATCAAGATGTGGAACTCTCAGCTTCTTCTCCAGCACCATGTCTGCCCACACACCACCATGCTTCCCGCCATGATGATAGTCCAATGAACCTCTGAACTGTAAGCCACAATTAAGTGTTTCCCTTATGAGAGTTGCTGTGGTCATCATGTCCCTTCACAGCAATAGAAACTCAGTTATAACTAAGACAGGGGCAAGGACTTCCATCCCTGGCATCCACATGATGGGAGGAGAAGATTCCTGCAAGCTGTCCTCCAGCCTTCACAAGTGTACCATGGCACATCATGCACACAATAAATAAATAAATAAATAAATAAATAAATAAATAAATAAAGTTGGTGGTCTGAATAAAAATAGGCCCATATTGAGTGGCACTATTAGAAGTTGTGGCTTTGTCAGAGGAAGTGCTTCACTAGGGGGTGGGCTTTGAGGTCTCGAATGCTCAAGCGAGGTCTAGTGAGACATTCACTGCCTGCAGATCAAGATGTGGAACTCTCAGCTTCTTCTCCAGCACCATGTCTGCCCACACACCACCATGCTTCCCGCCATGATGATAGTCCAATGAACCTCTGAACTGTAAGCCACAATTAAGTGTTTCCCTTATGAGAGTTGCTGTGGTCATCATGTCCCTTCACAGCAATAGAAACTCAGTTATAACTAAGACAGGGGCAAGGACTTCCATCCCTGGCATCCACATGATGGGAGGAGAAGATTCCTGCAAGCTGTCCTCCAGCCTTCACAAGTGTACCATGGCACATCATGCACACAATAAATAAATAAATAAATAAATAAATAAATAAATAAATAAATGTGTGTGATTCCAAAAAAAGATGGCTTAGTTGGCAAATCGCTTGCCACACAAGCTTGAGAGCCTGAGTTTGATCCCCAAAGCCCTTGTTAAAAAGCCAGGCATGGTGGTACACACTTGTAATACCATCACTGGGCAGGCTGACCAGCCATCCAAAGTGGAGAGTTCAGGACGTTATTAGACCCTGTCTCAAAAATAAGGTAGACGGCATTCCTGAGAAATGACACCCAGGATTGTGTCTAGCTTGCAAACATATACACACACAGTTAATTACTTGAGGTGGGCATAGTGATACATGTCTGTAATTGTAGTACTCAGGAGGGAGATGGAGGATCAGGTGTTCGAGTGTCCATAGCTACTTTGGGAGTTTGAGGCCAGTGAGGAGTGAGACCCTGTCTGTGCTCTTCCCCCAAGAATGGCTTGCTCTGGGACAGAGTGCCCTAGAAAAGTACAAAACAAGATTCTTCTGATTTCACCTCCTTCCAGTTTTGACTGTAATCCTCAGAGGTGCCAGAGTGGCTTAGAATTCTGTGGATGCTGACCCTTAAAGCCTCATGTAGGTAGAGCAAAGCAGATAGCTGGATTTCTGTTCAAAACCACCACAAATGCACTTCAGAGTTAGAGTATACCTGTGTGTGATGATGCTTGTGCCATGGGCAGCCCTCAAAGTCAGTTACTTCTCCAAACTGGCAATCTTTGCCAACTTACAGTTGCAAAAGCAAACAGACAAAACCACAACAACCTCTCAGTATTTCCCTTTAATAAAAAAGGTGAATTTTCTGCTGTGAAGGTTTGTGCTGAGTGTTAAATTCCCAATATACTCATCAGTTACTGATATCTTTGTAGTTTATTGTTTAGGGTGAGTTACTGAAAATGCCTCCATCAAGAGTCTAGTGCCCTCTGAGGAAGCCACTTTCCTGCTCCCTCACCGTGTGGGCCATCTCTGTAGCCCACACACTTCTTTTTCCCTCAAGTACGGGGTTGAATCAGGTTGAAGCACTATTCCACTGAGTCATGGCTCCAGGAAATCTCAGTAAGTTGCCTAGACTGCCGTTAGGTTTAGAATCCTGCCTCAGCATCCCCCTAGCAGGATTACAGGCTGACTACCAGTCCTGGCTAATCTGTCCTGTGATCTTTCTTTAGAAGGGGTCAACCCAAGTGTAGTGAAGGACAGCACAGGGTGCTCTGTTAGATTCTAGTGCATGTTGGGGTTGGGAAGATAATCAGTTACTGACTTATTTCCTTTTGCCAGTCCCTTTTCTGTTCCTTCTGATATCTGAATGAGTGCCTCCTTTGTTGTGTACTTGTAATAACACCTTTGGGTTAAGTAATACGTGTTTATAGCAAATAAGATTCCACATAATGTCACAGTGTTGTCTCTCTCTTGTCTGTGTGTGTGTGTGTGCGCGTGCATGTGTGTGTGTGTGTGTGCGCGTGGGTGTGTGTG